CTGTTTACAACAGCCGCATGTGGGATTCCCAGAAAGAGACTCCAAACCGGACATCCTGCGGCTGCAAAATACCCAGGTGTCAAGAGCTAAAAATAGCTGCCCTAGGGCCCCAGGCAAGGGGAAAGGGGCATGCTCACCGCGGGGGCGGGCAGCCGGCCTGTGGCCTGTGGCCTCCCATCCAGCCTCCTTCGAGGCCCATGGCTGTGAGCTGCAGGGCTTCAGTCCCCTTGGACTGAGTGCCCACCCCCCTTGGAGTGACAGGGGCCCTTTGTCTGGGCCCATGGCCCAGGCCACTCACCTGCGAGCAGCCCAGCTCGCTTTGGGACGCTAATGAGAGTCTCAAAGGGACTTGGGAGCTTCTAGAGAGAGGACTTAGCAGGCCCTGGAGAGCAGGGGAAATGAAGCTGATGCTTTTCCCAAGACCCTCACCTGTCACCAGCCCCTTGTTCCCACACGCGGTCCAAAATCATTGCTTGGAATCTTCGAAGTCAGCAGATGCTGTCCGTCTGTGATTATTACGGAGACCCGGAGATGAAGCGGGCAGCTTCTGCCCCCTGAACCTCCAGCAGGCCTGGGGTCTGCCGCCACTACTGGTTCCTGGGGGGGCTGCGTACTCTCTGTCTTTCCCTACCTGCTGGCCTGCGGGAGCGGAAGTGCTGGGGAGGAGCAGGGGAGGGTAAAGGTTGGGAAGACGGATTCTGGAGCCCAGTTGCCTGGCTCAAGTCCCAGCGGAGCCACTTCCATGTTACGTGACTTCACACAAGTTATTTAATGCTTCTGGGCCTCAGTCTACTGACCTATGTAATGGGGATAAAGGTGGTACCTACCTCATCTGGTGGGGGTTGGATAACTTAGCACATGTGAGGCACTCAGAGCAACTGGCCCGTAGCGAAGTGTTAGTTTACAGAAGTTCGGAGGGAAGAGAAGGGGAGGGGAGGGCAGTCAGCAGAGGTGGGGCAGGGAACACATGGGGAGAAAATGACTGTGGCGGGAGAGGAGAGGGCGCAGCTGGGACCAGATGCTGAAACTCGCGAATGCCAGGAAAGAGGCTGCCTGGTTCAGGCAGGGACAGATGGTAGTAATGGAGACTATTGAGGCAGCACCTACCGTGTGCTAGGAACGTGCTACGCAGGGCTGCTAATCTTCAATGACCTCTTCCAGGTGCATATTTTTCTTGCCAGTGGGGCAGTCAAAGCTTGACCAGGTTATCCTGTGTCCCTGGCTCTCCCTGCCGGTCACGGAAGGGAGCCAGGGTTCAAACCCACGTCCATCTGGCCTCAAAGCCAACATGCTCTATGCCGTGGGGCCTCGTTTCCATGACTCTGTATGGCAGGAGTTTCTAGCCAGCTTGCGGCCCCCTGGGTTCTAGATAAATCTGAGCAATAAGCAGCTTCATGCCAAGATAATGAGCAGTAGAATTAATAATGAGCAAGACAATTTCTGGAAGGTGGGGGAGAGAGAAGAAACCGTTCGAGGGTTGACTCTAGGCAAGTTCTTGGGAGTCGGACAACTGAGAAAGTTTTGGTCTTTCGCTTTTTGAGACTCTGAGTTTTTTTTTTTTTTTTTAAGTATCTGCAAGTCGTCTACTTTTTAATTTTTTAGAAGGTTGTGGGCTGTATGTGAAACTCCTTGAAAGTAAGAAGCGATTTCATTCATAGGTCCATCCCTTCAGGGCCTGGAATGGCGACCTCATGTAGAAGTACTGGGTTCCTGCCTTTGGGATTGCCTTCTTGGCTTTTCCCTGGCCTGGCCTGGCCTGGTCAGACCGCTCCCCTGTTGGGGGACAGTGACCTAGCCCCTTCCTCTTGCTCTTGTCTCCTCTCTGAATTGAGAGGGTTGGCCTGAGTGGGCTCTCAAGCCCCATCAGCAACTAAGGTTCTCAGATTGTGTGACTGGAATGCCTTCTAGAAGAGGCTCTCCTCTGTGCTCAGTGCTCAGTCTGTGTCAGGAGGGCCTGGCAACCGTGATGTTCTTTCTCGTGTTTATTTATTCTTGGATCTTCCTGAAGCCATTTCAGCCCCAGCTTTCATCTTCTCTGCCAGCCCCCATGCAGAGTCAAGCTTTGTCCTGTCTGTGTCAGGGAAACAGAACCAGAGCCACAACGTGGGGTGTGGAGGGAATCAGCCCTGATCCTGGGACCTGGCCTCCTGCTGCCGCCTGCTTTCCTCCAGCATGCTGGGGCCTAGGCCTTCCTGCTACTCCTCTTCAGCTAGTCGGGAGATCAGGGAGGTGAGGACAGCCTCAGAAAAGACATCAGAGGCATGGGCAGGGGGCTTCTGCTTCTGGGGAAGCCGTTTTCCTGACAAAGGGCCTGAAAACACCTGGGAGGGCAGGTGAGCAGACCCGGCTCAGGTTTCCAGTCACCGTGGGCCTGCCTTGGGGCAAAGTCCCATCTGTGGGGGAGGTGCGGCCCAGGCCCACAAAGGAGGAGTGGGAGACCAGCTCCCGCAGGTGCCCCCCCCCCCCCCCCCCCCCGAGACTTGTGTCTGCTCTGGGGGTTTCTGAGGGCTGCGGGGGATGCACTGCGTGGACACATTGTGGCAGTATTTCTGGGGCTCTTTGGTTCTGAGTGAGGTTGGGGCACTGGTCTGAGAAGGTAACCCAGTAGGCCCACGTGCCTCAGTGCCAAGTAAACTGCCTCTTCAGTCTGACTGCAGCGGCTTCCGAAGGTAGAGATGGGGTGGGGTGGGGGGGTGTAGTCAGAATTCCAAAACGGAGAGCTCTCCACCCTGGCAGGGCGCTTTGTGGAGAAGGGTCCAGGCCGAGGCGTGGTTCAGGCCCTCAGGTCCATTCACGCCTGCTTTTTTTTGCCTGGTCCCAGAGTAGTGGGAACAGCACCCGGAGAGGGGCCGATGAGAAGTGTCCCGCAGATCACGGCCAAGCCTGGCTTGCAGGGTGTTTGCTTTCTGGTGCGAGTTCAGCTAGCACCTGGGTCCCCTCAGATACCTGTCCTCTCTCCGGGATCCAGGAGAGCTGCTTCACAGCTCTTATCTTCTTTGCTTTGGGCTCTTCTGAACTCAAAGGCTGTCCGCACAGAGACAGGGAACTGGGGGAGAAGCAGAACTTTTTCCAGGAATCGCTTCTGGAAGCAGCTCCTGTTGGCAACATGTGCGCACACACACACGCGTGTGTGCTCCCAGCTTTAACGAACAGAGTTTCTATCATAGATCATCATCATAAAATGTCCCTTTGGGCCCTGTAACAAGCACTATGGAGTTCAGGGCCATTGGCTGGTCTCCTGTCCAGAGAGTGCATGGTGTCCTGACTCCATGGTTACCAGGGGAGCAAGGCTTGGCTCTGATCCCAAGCACGATTGCTGCTGACTGGCCTCGGGCAGGGACTGAGGGGAGGTAGGGGACAATTCCCACTGACAGGGGCTGGAGGCACCGGACTGACATACGGGCCTGATGCAGCCTCTGGGAGTGTACCTGGGAGCCCAGTTCAGAAACCTCTCCTGTGAGACCAGCAGAAGAGAGAGGAGGTCCTATGAGAGCCTGGAGTAGGGGTTACCTCGTCCTGGGGAGGGGGTGCTGCCTGCCACACCGGTGTTCCTGGGGGGTCCCGGAGCTTGAGAAGGCAGGGGGCTGGGGGACAAGTCACCCCTTCCTGATGGAGCCTGGCATGTGTGCAACACGGTGATAGGTGCAATGGGCACAGCTTCTGAATGACACCGTGGAGGCCATGACTGGCGGAGTATTGAGGTGGCGCACACAGGGCGGGTGCTCTGGGAAGGGAGCAATAGGGAGGTCGGGGTGAGCCTCATGAGGAAGCCCATGGGCTGGGGCCGGCAGAGTTTGGGGAGGTGGACCGCCTTTCCCTACCCAACGTCAGCATCTGGAGCATGGGGCACGAGTGTGTGACGGTGGCTGGTGGGGAGCTCTCTGGGCCTAGTGTTGCCCCCTCCCCCAGCGGGGCCTGCCTGCAGGGAGTTCTCCTTTCTTCGGCTTCTGGAAGAGGAACTGTGGTTGCCCCTTAAACACAGACCCAGAAGAACAGCACCCACCAGTCATTCTTCAGAAAATAGCCCTTCTGCCCCAAGGTTGGCCTGAGGAGGTCTTCTGTGTGTCCCTCAAGGACCCCTTCCGGGTGGCCCTCCAGTCTCCCAGACTCCTGTCCCTAGGGTCCTGAGCTGGGACAGCAGGAGGGAAAGGTGTCTATCTGGGACAAGTGACCTCAGACTTGTGTCTGTCTCCCTACCCCAGTGGGCTTCTGGGCAACTTCGTGCCTCTGCTTCAGCCCTGCTTGGGCCCTACCATGGGGTTTCGTGGGTTCTAAATGGGATGGGGGCTCTGGGTTCAGCTTCTGAGCCTGAGAGAGGTAACGTTTCCAAAAGGAAAGACTTCTATTTCAGGTTATTAAAAAAAAAAAAGTCTGAGAGGTTCTGTTCACTGGGGGAGCACAGGCTGACATGGGATAGGGCAGCAGGAGGAAAGACATTCCTACTGTTGGGGCCTTGGCACTGTGCTCCACACCTGCAGCTTCACAGCTCCCTCCATTTCTGACTTGATCTTCAGGCCATGACCCAGTCCCTCCCCACCTGGGAAGCTCCCCTTCTCTGGGCCCACTTCTCCTCATCTCCCTCCTGGCAGCCTCACTGGCAGTGCTCTCCCTCCTCCGGCCCCCTCCTCTCCCAGATCTCTTTCCCTTTGGGTTATGGGAGCCTGGGCCCTAGGAGGATGAGGTCAGAGCACATTGGGAAGGGCTGAAGGGTGAACTGGGCCTCCTTGGGCCTACTGTGGACTGGGCTCCAGCGGGGTGACATGTATGAGTCACAAGGTGACTTGGTTTAGGAAGAGAGGGCTGGTGAGTGCTTGCCTTCAGCATGGGAATCTGAGGGAAGGAATGGGGCAGAATCCTTGCTTTTTGGTTAGCTTCTGATGCAGGTGCCGGGTTTGGGGGTGCTCAAGCTGGAGTGGAGCCTTCCCGCCTGACCTGGCCCTCTCACCCTTTCCTCACCCCTTCCCTGCAGCCCCTTCATGCCCTCTCTCTTCTCTTTACAGATGGGACCCAGGTGAGCCCGGGTGCCCGCTGCCCCAGCCCCCCCAGCACAGGTAAGAGTCAGGCCTGAGGGAGCCTGAGGTGGGAGTGCAAGACGAGGGTGGAGAGGACAGAAGAGGGGCAAGAGAAGCAGGGTGGCGAGCTGATGGGCCAGAGGGTTGGGAGGTTGGGGTTCTGGGTGTGGGACGAGGAGTGGGGTAAGAGGCAAGTCTGGCTCTAGGCTGGTCCCACTGTTGGGAAGCACAACAGGAAAAGGAAAGGCAGGATGCTCTTCTTGTCCTTGTTGGCTGCGGGGAAACAGGAAGGCAAGTAGGAAGCTAGTGTTTACACTCAGACCCCTGCCTCACATCAGGCTCTGGGCAAGGTGCCTGGCTCTTGTTCGTTGGCCTCGGGCCTCACGCTGGTGCCACAGAGGGGGCACAGAAGCCCTCACAGGGGGAAAGATGCCTCTTGCTGTTCAGGCAGGCTACGGGGAGGGAAAGGATCCCTCTCCTGGGTTCTCTCACTGCCCCTTGCCTCCTCTGCCATTTGGCCGTTTTCTGGTTTAGGATGTGGCCCTGGGGCCAGGGCTGGAGTGGCTGATGGCCTCGGCCAGTGTCCTCGGAGGGCCTACCGGGTGCCTGACGCCTCGCATTTCCGTATGGCGGGGAGGAGTGAGAACTGGCTGTCTTCTTTGCCTTGCTTCCGGTTGTCCGAAAGCTCACAGGCAGGCTGGGGAGACAGGACACCAGGAGGAGAATGCCGTATGTGACCAGGGCCAGCTGAGGGCGCAGTGGACAGAGTTCATCCCTTCAGTCAAGAAACACTAAATCCGTACCTGTTGCCACGTAGTCCTCCTAGATATTTAATATAAAAAAAGAAAACAACAGAAATTGGAAAAAGAAACATTGATGAACCCCATCCCTGTGCCCGGACACACTCTCTGGGCATTTTAGGGGGGCAGACAGACATTTATTCATCGATTCAGCCAGTATTTACTGGGTTCTTGTCATGTGCTAGGTATCATTCTAGGTGCCGGGGTCGTGAGAAGTAAACAAAACTGAGTTCCTGCCCTTGGAGCTGGACTCCGATGGTCCCGCCCACGCTGGGCTTAGAGGGCACCGAACCGTCAATGTGATTGGAATCCAGAGAAGGGAGGGACACAGGGCGGTGGGCTGAGTGCAGGCAAGAGGGAAGATTCCAGCTGGACTTGGAAGAAAGGGTAGGATCTGGAAAAGTGGACTCTGAGGAGGTGAGGGCGGTACCGCCAGGGGGTCATTGCAAGCATAAGCTCAGAGGGTGAAGGGTACGTGGGCTTGCGGCAGGACAGGGCTTGATGGCTGAGAGCAAGGGTCGTGTTCAGATGTAGGAGACAAAGGAAAACTGGCTTAGCCCCAAATCGTGGAGACCCCCCACATGCTAAATGACCCAGAATCCAATTCTGAGAGTTGCTGGCAGAGCCCCTCCCACATTCTCGGCAGCCCTGCGCTCGGAGGGAAGGATGGGGCCTCTCGGGCCACGCGAGGCCAAGGCAGCAAGCCCTGTGTCCTGTGGCCTGCCTGGGGTTCTCTGAGGTCCCTCTTCCCTCATCAGAGGAGTCACCCCAGGAAGCCAAGACACCAGATGTAGAGGAGTGTGTTAGCTTCAGAGGCCCAAACTCAAGCCGAGTGAGAATCTGGGTTCCCTGAGTGGATGTGTGAGCAGGAGTGGGGGGCATGGAGGCCATGCGTGGCCTGCGCAGGGCATGTTTGGAGGCACAGCCATCCCCTCTGGTCTCTTACTATCTGGACCGTCGTGGTGGGCACCTCCCTGCTTGGCTCCCCTCTCGTCTCTAGCTCCCAGGCAGAGAACCCTAGAGCAGATGCCCCTAGTGCAAGACCCTCTCCCTCTACCCAGCAAGAAAGCCCCGGGAGGGGAGCTGACTTCCTGAAAGTCCAGGGGACAACGGAACCAGAGCAGTGGCCTCAGCAAGGCCCTGAACCCACGCTCACCATGCCTCTCGCTGGGTAGCTTTGGCGAGGTCCCTTCGCCTGAGCTCAGTTTCCACATTTGGGATAATGGAATAGTAATAACCACCTCCCAGAGCCTGTGGGAGTTTCAGGGTGGAAGGGTTTTGCAGGCATGCCCACATGTGTGCCCTAGATCGGAGGGAACGATTGGTGACGGTTGGTAACGGTTGAGTTGGGTCTGGAGACTGTGTTCCCCAACTCCCCAGCTGCTGCTCTGTCACAGAGCCTTCCATGCCCCTCAGCCTGTGGCTGCCCTGATGGGGGCTGCCGTGTGTTGTTGGAGGAGCTGAAGGAGGCCTCTCCGGAAAGGTTTCCCCAACTGTGTACTGTCCTAGGGCCCCTGTTCTCACCCCCACCAGCTTCGCCTACCCCAGGATAACGGCCCTCCAGACGCTCCAGCTGCTCAGTCCAGCCTGGCCCAGCTGGCTATGTGGGCCTAGAACCTGGTCTGGCAGCCAGTGAGAAATAGCTCCTGCCCCCATGGCCCTGGAAGAGTGCTCCTGGTGTGGGCGCAGAGCACACTTGAGAAGAGGCGGCTGGGCCTGCTGTCCTCACAGGGACGGGCTTGGAGCAGGCCCCAGGGGTGTAGGAGCCCAGTGAACTGAGGAGGTTGCCCTGCGAACAGGGCTGTGCATGCTCGGGGTGATGGGCCTGGGCTGCTGTACGTTCAAGGCATGGCCACTTTAGCCTCTGGCCTAGGATAGAGCATGGGTTGGGGGGGTGGCACCTGGGAGAGCCCACGAGGCCGGCTGGGGCTGGAGGCTGAACAAAGGGGACTGGCGGATCGCTGTCTTTGAGGGCAGGTCATTAGGGGTCAGCCTGACCAAATCTTTATTCCGGCGGGAAGAAGGGAAGGAGATGGCAGGGCCCAGAATGTTCTCCCGCAGGGCTTGTCACTCAATCTTCCCAGCTCCCAGCCCCTGCCCTGGGGTGGCAACACCAGTTAGTGGAAAAGCATGGTGCTCGGAGTCAGGAGGGTCCTTTCGGGCGCAGCCTCCATGGTCTAACCCCACCTGTTTCCACGCCTGCCCGCCCCTACCCCCACCACGAAATGGAGCTGGAAGTACCTACCCCGTGGGACCACAGTGACAGAGGAAAGGTCCCTACACAGTGTCCCGCTGTGGCCCAGGGAGCCTGCAGGAGGCTGAGCGGGCCCTGAGCATGCCCCCTCTGTGTGCCCGCAGGCCGCCCCAGGCCCCGCGTGGACACGCCCGGCCTTCAGCCCCAGCCCATGGACCTGCGGGTGGGCCAGCGGCCCGCGGTGGAGCCCCCGCCGGAGCCCGCGCTGCTCGCCCTTCAGCACCCCCAGCGCCTGCACCATCACCTGTTCTTCGCAGGCCTGCAGCCTCGCTCTGCGGAGTCCATGAGGGTAAGGTCCGCGCTCCCCGCCCCTGCGGCGGCCTTGAGCTCAGCCCCCAGCCTCCCACCCTCCCTCCCGCTTCCCCAGACCCTCGGCTCAGTCTTCAACTCCTTGCCCCTTCCTGGGCGGCCCGCCCTGCCCACAGCTCCCCATGGACACGCCGGTGCCCCAGCTGCAGGTGGGGCCCCAGGAGCAGGAGCTGCGGCAGCTTCTCAATAAGGACAAGAGCAAGCGAAGTACGTCTGTGAATGTGGGTGGGGGGTCTGGAGGCTTTGCGAAAGGGGGGGGCACCAGGCTTGGCTCTCCGTAGGGACAGGATGATGGGCAGGCAGTGGGCCAGGGAGGCCACCATCCACCTGCCCCCGACCCACTCCTGACTCCCCTGCCCCAGGTGCCGTGGCCAGCAGTGTGGTCAAGCAGAAGCTGGCAGAAGTGATTCTAAAGAAGCAGCAGGCAGCCCTAGAGAGAACAGTCCATTCCAACAGTCCCAGCATTCCCTACAGGTAACGCTCTCCCAACGGCTCCCTTGTGTCCCTTTCATGCCTCCTCGCAAAGTGTCCATCCCATGAGCCCTTGTACTCGCTCCACCTGCCTCCCAGCTGCTTGTCAGCAGACCCATCCCCCTCACCTCTAATTACAATGCTGCCCCAACCTCTCTCCTCCCACCTGCCCCCTTTTCTCCTTTAATTATCACTCCCAACCCCACCTGAAGCCCTTCCTACCTGGACCCCCCCCCCCCCCCCCAGCACAGACATACCACGCAGGCTTTCTTCTTCCTACACAAGTCCCTTTTCTCTTTAGGACTTCCCCAAAGCACAAAAATATCCTGATTCCTAGAGCAGTTTCCTCCCACAGGAGACAGAGTCCCCTTTGTGACTGGCCCGCACCCAAGTCCTGAGACCCCTGGCTCCTAAGCTTAGATGGAGGCCTGCCTGGCCTCGCAGCTGGCAGGGAGGCTGGCCCGGTGCGGCCACCTGGAGATGCCCCTATTCTTGACTGCCACACGCTGCCTGGCCCTGTCAGCAACTGCCTCTCCTGGCAGGGCCTGGGGACCCAGGCTCAGGAAGAGCCCTTTGCAGAGCCTTCTGCTGCCAGGCCTCTGGGCATCCCTGCCTCTCTGAAGCCACCTTGGCTTTCCCTCCACAGAACTCTCGAGCCCTTGGAGACGGAAGGAGCTGCTCGCTCTATGCTCAGCAGCTTTCTGCCTCCTGTTCCCAGCCTGCCCAATGACCCCCCAGAACACTTCCCTCTCCGAAAGACAGGTGAGTGGGGCAGGCAAGTGAGGACCCTCCAGGGCAGGGTCAGGAGCCTGGAGGAGCGGGAGAGCCCGTAGGGCTGCAGCAGGTCAGCTCACCGTGCTTTTCTCCCTGATGCCGCCTTCTCTTGCCTTCACCCAGAGGTGACTGGGAGGGAGGAGGGTGGTGTGGGGCCAAGTAACACCGGTGCTCCCACAGTCTCTGAGCCCAACCTGAAGCTACGCTACAAGCCCAAGAAGTCCCTGGAGCGGAGGAAGAACCCCCTGCTCAGAAAGGAGAGTGCCCCGCCCAGCCTGCGGCGGCGGCCCACCGAGACCCTTGGCGGTGAGGGCCAGCAGGGTGGGCGGGGTGGCCCGTGGGGTCCCTCTGGGTCGGGGCCCGCCCAGACAGGACGACTGTGCGCGATTATACAGGCTGTGTCTAACACTCGCCAGGGGGGCTGATTGAGGCCAAAAGCCAGCCCCTGCTCTGTTGGCTAAGGTGCCCTCGAAGAAGGGGCACCTTAAAAAAGTGGGCAAAGACAACAGAGTTGAGTGGTGGCCTGCCTTCTTCCTGCCCTTCTGGGAAGAAAGCAGGAAGCAGAGGCCACCCCCCTGGGGAAGGAGGACTGGCCCCGTTGTCCTGGCCACACCAGGCCTCTGACTGTGCTTCCCTCTCTGCTGCCCCTAGACTCTTCCCCGAGTAGCAGCAGCACGCCAGCGTCAGGCTGCAGTTCCCCCAATGACAGCGAGCACGGCCCTAACCCAGTCCTGGGCTCCGAGGTAAGCCCTTGCCAGGCCGGGCTCTCGGGGCCAGTTCTGAGGCTCAGCCTTCTTCTCAGCAAGTAGCCCTGACCGAGCTGGGGCCGCAGGGTCTGGGCAGCCCGGACCTGAGCCTCCTGGGGGTTCTGGGGAAGGCAGGCTCGGGGTAGAGGTCTGGGACCGGTGACCCCTGCCCTGCTCCCCATGGCAGGCGCTCTTGGGCCAGCGGCTGCGGCTGCAGGAGACCTCTCTGGCCCCGTTCGCCTTGCCGACAGTGTCCTTGCTGCCCGCAATCACGCTGGGGCTACCTGCCCCTGCCAGGGTGAGTGGCTGAGGCGCCCTCCCCCCCACTGCAAGCCCCCAGCTTCTTTCGCTCCCTTCTCCTACCACCTCACCCCAGCACCTTCACTGCTTTCTCTGTGGGGGATCTTCCCCCCTGTGACTTCCCCCTGCCTCCCCCCAGGCTGATGCTGACCGTAGGACCCATCCGACTCTGGGCCCCCGGGGGCCGGTCCTGGGGAGCCCCCATGCTCCCCTCTTCCTGCCCCATGGCCTGGAGCCTGAGGCTGGAGGCCCCTTGCCCTCTCGACTACAGCCCATCCTCCTCTTGGATCCCTCAGTTTCTCACGCCCCTCTGCTGACTGGTGAGTTCCAAGGCTTCTCCAGGGGAGGGGCTGGTCCCTGCATCCTGCTAAGGGCCAGGCTTGGGAAGGGTCCCTTCCTCCCTGCCCCTTCGGCAGCCCCTCATCCTGCGTGTCTCCCCAGTGAGCCCGTGCCCCCCTGCCACCCCGTGCCTTTGCTTCCTTCCATTCCTCCCTTTGGTTCCTTCCTTATGCCCCACCCACACCCCGTTCTTTCCAGTGCCTGGGCTTGGGCCCCTGCCCTTCCACTTTGCCCAGTCCTTACTGACCACCGAGCGGCTCTCTGGGTCAGGCCTCCACCGGCCACTAAGCCGGACCCGCTCAGAGCCCCTGCCCCCAAGCGCCACCGCCCCCCCACCGCTGGGCCCCCTGCAGCCCCGCCTGGAACGGCTCAAACCTCACGTCCAGCTGATCAAGGTGAGGGGAACTGGCTAGGGGAGGTGATGAGGGGTTGCTTCCCTGGGCCTCTGGGGGCTGAAAAAAGGGAGGCTCAGGAAGGGCTGGGACCTGGAGGGCCAGAAAGAGGATATGGCTCCCAAGGGCCCAGAGCCGTGTGGCCACTGAAGTCCCAACAAGATGAGTGGCCACACAGCCCAGCCCACCACGGCCCACCGCACAGCTTGCGTCCCAGCATGGCTTCTCAGTGGGCATCTCCCTTCCCCAGAGGCCAGCCAAGCCCAGTGAGAAGCCCCGACTGCGGCAGATACCCTCCGCCGAGGACCTAGAGACAGATGGTGGGGGAGTGGGGCCAGTGGGGGATGACGGCCTGGAACACAGGGAGTCAGGCCACGGGCAGCATGAAGCCAGAGGCCCTGTTCCTCTCCAGCAGCACCAGCAGGTATGGCAGCACCCATGTCCCTGGAAAGGTGTAGTCGGGAGACCCTGGGGCCTAGCATAGATGGAAGGGAGGGAGCTAGCTCCTCAGTGCAGGAGGCGAGTCTGGGACCCAGGTTGCCCTACCAGATCCGTACCAAGGTGCAGACATGCCCCCGCCATGCACACGTGTGTGTACATGCACACACGCACACACATACACAGGCACACTCTGGCAGCCTGCCAGTCTTGGGGGAAGCCATGTCCCTTGTCTGGTGCTGAGGCTGGCCTCTCACCAAGCCGTGCACGTCCCTGCCCCAGCCCCTCTCCCCTGTGACCCGTTGTCTGCTGTCCAGGACGGGGGCTGGGACCAGAAATGGGACAGAGCCAGGTGTGGGCAGCACTCTCAGTGTGAGGCAAGTCATGGGGGCTGAGTTTGCTGGGGCTGCTGGGACAAGCACCACAGACCCAGCCCCTACAATGACAGAAGTACGTCATCTCACTGTTCTGGAGGCCGGAAGGCCAACACTGGGGTTTGTCTTTCCGAAGGCCATGAAGGAGGGGCTGCTCCTGCCTCTGTCCTCAGCTATAGATGGCCGTCTTCTCTCTGTGTCCTCACACCATCTTCTCCCTCTGCCTGCCTGGATCCAACTTTTCCCTTTTTATAAGGACAAAAGTCATACTGGATTAAGGCTCACCCTAATGACCTCATTTTAACTTGATTATTTCTGTAATTACCTGTCTCCAAATAAGGTCACATTCTGAGGTACTGGTGTGGGGCTTAGGACTTCATGAATGGGAAGTGGCAGGGACACAGCTCAGCCTACCGTGCCTGGCAACAGTCCACACATGTGCAGTGGCTCATGCACGTCCCTGTGTCCTTGGGCAGTTTGGCCTGAGACCCCTTACCTAGGTTCTGGCTTTGGAGTCCCAAAGGTCTGAGAAAGTCTGGTGGCACAGGGTGGTCATTCTGGGCTGCTGACTTCTGGGGGTAGTGCGGGGGGCCGAGGGTTCAGAGATCAAAGGCCAGAGCCCTGCCAGGAGGCAGGCCTAAAAATCTCTCCCAAAAGGGACCTGCCCAGAGGTTTCCAAGGCCCTGGGCAGCAGCAGATGGAACAGAATCCTGAGACCTGGAGACTGAGCCCCACTGTGTCCCTCAGGTGTTCCTCTGGGAGCAGCAGCGACTGGCTGGACGGCTCCCCCGGGGAGGAACTGGGGACTCTGTACTGCTTCCCCTGGCCCAGGGCAGTCACCGGCCCCTGTCCAGGGCTCAGTCATCCCCGGCTGCACCTGCCTCATTGCCAACTCCAGAGCCCGCCAGTCAGGCCCGTGTCCTGCCCAGCTCAGAGACCCCTGCCAGGAGCCTGCCCTTCACCACAGGTAAGGCCAAGATCAGGGTGGGACAGGAGAAGGGGCAGGGGGCCCACAGGGGCTCAGGCATAAGTCCATGTCTGGTCTTGCTGTCACTTGGGACATTGTTCGAGGCCACAGAGCACTTGCTTGGCCTTGTCACAGCCTCACAGTGTCCCATGAAGGAGGTGGAGTGGGTGGTGGTCCTCACTGTGCAGATGAGGACACCTGGGCTCAGAACTAAGGTGACAAGCTTGTGGTCAAAGAGCAAGCTGAGGGTCAAGCCAGGTTGAGGATCTGGGTCTCCTGACAACCCAGACCTCCCCTGACCTTTCAAAAATGATATTTATGGTGGTTGTTCTATTAGTAAAGGAAGAGCTCAAAAGTATTTTAGAAATTTTGAAAAACACCAAAAAACATAAGAATACAATAAAAATAGCTGACCGGTCTCCCACCACCCCAGAGCCACCTCTCCTAAGTGCTGCTGTGTAGTTCAGCACCACCTTTGTCCTAGAAAGCTGTGTATAGATACCACACACACTCATTGTGTGTTGAGCCCTGCTTTATTCTGTTAACATATTATGAATATGTCATGATAAAATTAACCTTTAAAAATGAGATTTTTATAGTATTTCATCACAGTATTTTTTTTTTTTTTGACGATTTCTTATTGGTGGGGCGGATAGGTGTCCACTCATTTTTCCCCATGAGAATTTCTTGTCCCTGAATCTTTGCTCATCCCTGGCATTGTTTCCCAAAGGCTGCTCTTAAGGAGTGGCCTCCCTGGGTCAAGTGGGGTGAGCATTTTGAAGATCCCAGTGTCCTGAGGCATGCTGAAAGTGACCTGTCAACCATGTGCAGGGCACTCTAGGTGGCCTGCTGGTCAACCCAAAACAGTCACTTCCCCAAAACAGCATCTGTCTTGTCACATGGCTCCGCGTCACTGTGAGCTTCCCAGCTCTTGGCTTGGGGCTTTCTGAGGAATTCTTTCTCCTCTCACACCCCTGTGGCAGCCTGGCTGGGTTGTGAACATCTAGCGTGAGACCCCAACCTTAGGCCCCCTTTGGTCAGGCTCAGAGCTCTCAAGGTCTTGCTGGCCACAGGAAGCCATGTGTGGAGAGTCAGGGTGGCAGGAAGTCAGGGGCTCTGTGGCGGAGGTGTTGGCTGGGGCACACCTGTGTGTGTGTGTGTGTGTGTGTGTGTGTGTGAAAGGCTGAGGGGCTGGATGGGGGAAGTGGGGCTGTGTGACTCTGGGGGCGATGGGATGTCAGGTCTGGCTCCATGTGGATGTGGTGTGTGTGGCCCTGGGGGGAAGAGGGGACCCCTGGGCTCTGGACCCTGAGTCCTGCTCTCGGCAGGGCTGGTCTACGATTCGGTCATGCTGAAACACCAGTGCTCCTGTGGGGACAACAGCAGGCACCCGGAGCACGCGGGCCGGATCCAGAGCATCTGGTCCCGGCTGCAGGAGCGGGGGCTCCGGAGCCAGTGCGAGGTGAGGAGGCAGGGGGTGGGAGATGAGGGGCCTGAGCGGGTGGTGGTCGTGGCAGGGAGGAAGCGTGCAGGGGCAGGGGTGGGGGGAGCCCGGGCTCAGGAGGTCTGTGGGCCCATCCTCAGTGTCTCCGGGGCCGGAAGGCCTCCCTGGAGGAGTTGCAGTCCGTGCACTCGGAGCGGCACGTGCTCCTCTATGGCACCAACCCGCTCAGCCGCCTCAAACTGGACAACGGGAAGCTGGCAGGTAGGGGCCCCAATGGCTCCCGGGATCCCTACGCTTCCCCTGACCCAGCCAGCTGCTGTCTTCTCTTGTCCCAGCCCCACACAGCCTGCCCCTCAGGCATCCTGGGAGTCCCCCTGCCACCTGCTGTTCCCCTTCCCCAACTCCTCGGCCCCAGCCCCCCTCAGGCCAGAGCTGAGAGGCTTCTGGGCTCACACACACTGGGCCTCTCCCCACAGGGCTCCTGGCACAGCGGATGTTTGTGATGCTGCCCTGTGGTGGGGTAGGGGTAAGTGTGCCCGGGGGGCTTGAGCGCCCATTGCCATGGGCTCTTGGAGCTCCTCCCTTCTGTTCTCCCAGGCCCAGCCCCTACCTGCTTGTTCTTGGGGTCCTTCCAGACCTGTTGGGCCAGGGGCTCTCCCATAATGCTCCTCTGCCGGCTAGAAGCTCCTTGTGGCCAGGTGTGTCCTCTACCCATCAGTGTCTCCTGAGCGGGGAGCCCTTTGCCTTGCACTCAGATGGTGTTCAGTAGATGTGGAGTGAGGCTCAAAGAGCAGGGGATTGTCTCCCTTCGTAAAGCCCTGGTGGTGGTCGGGATTCACCCTTCCACGCCGGCCTCCGGGCGGAGTCGGGCTGCTTGGCCGGAGCTGTGGGGATGCCTCCAGGGTGCTCGGTGACCCAGGCAATTTTCTCCCACAGCCCAGCTTCCCCTCCTCCCAGTTTACCCTGCTTAGCGGGCTCCTTGCCTCCTCTGGTGGCATCCCAGCCCGGAGTATGGAGGCAGGGGATGGAGGCCTAGTTCTGGAGGGAAGTGGGAGCTGTAGCTGGGGGGCTGTTGGGGAGCCAGTCAGCGCCCTGTTCACAACTTCCCATTTCTTGCCACTTTCTGATTTTTCCAACTGTTGTTGCTTCTGTTTTCTCCTCCCTCCTCTCCCTCTCTGTCTGTCTCTCTCTCTCTTTCTCCAGCCTCTTGCGACTCTCTCTGCCTTCCTCGCCTCTCTTGGTCCGCCTCGCCCTCCCCATCTCCCCATCATGCCCCCCGGCCCCTCCCTAGCCTTGAGGCCCAGGGACTGGGTTTGGGGGGCCTCCCAGCCTGGGCTAGGGGCCCTGAGTGGAAGACAGTGGTGCAGACGGCCCCTCGAGCTCCGACCGTCCCGCAGGGCCTGAGCAGAGTCAGCTGGGGCTTAAAACCCCCTCCCGGTCCAAACCCCAAGTCCCGCCCAGGTAACGCCATGCCCCCTCCTCTGACTGGGGAGGCAGGCGCGATGCTGCTGGCAGAGTGCTGGCCAGATACGGGCTGGTGATATGGACTGAAGCTGGGAAGGAGAAGTCATGCTGGGATTGGGGGACGCAGGAGGCCTTGCCTTTGGGTGGTGGGGCCCTGGGGAGGCAGCACTGTCTGCCCAGTTCCCTGCCCCTGGGGTCCTGGCCGTGGGGTGGGTACTGCCCAAGTGGGCCCTTCCTGTGGGGGCCTTGGATGATGCGGGCCCTGACTCTGGCCCCCACAGGTGGATACCGATACCATCTGGAACGAGCTGCATTCCTCCAACGCAGCCCGCTGGGCCGCTGGCAGCGTCACTGACCTCGCCTTCAAAGTAGCTTCCCGCGAGCTAAAGGTAGTAGCTGTGAGTGGAGAGTGGGTCAACCACAGAGAGGGTAGCAGGCTGGGGCAGTAGGGAAGGTCAAATCCAGAACTTCAGGCCTCTCACTCCTCTTAGATAGTGCCTCAGGGTTTTGGAAGGGAAATTGAGAGTTCTGGCGACAAAGCTGAGATTCGAACCTTATGCTCATGCTATTTGCTGGGGGTCAAGCCGCTGGTCTCTAAGAGACCCAGAGTCATAATTATTCAGGATCATTTCACACACAGACCTGCTGTGTGACCACCGGGCAGTTGCAGAGCGTCTCTGGACCTCTTCCGTCAGCAGATCGGTTCTTTGCCATCCGAGGTTTTATAGACTGGGTTGGTGCCTGAGCTTGTTCACTCTGGGCCGGGCACCTGACAGGGGCTTGTGCTGAGGCCCGAACCCCCTGCTGTTGAAGAACTCAGAGCCCAAGGGGGGCATGTGTCCGGTGTCCCGGCTGCTCCTCAGAGTGGTGTGCAATAAAGAGCTCAGTGCTGGGCTGTACCTTCTGGCTTCACCCTTGGACAAGCGGGCAACTTCCCACAAGCTTCAGATTCTCCTCAGCTGTGAACTAGAGAGAACCCTGTTTCTCTCATGGAGATGTTGTGAGGATTAGGCGACATTTACCTCAGGGAGCTGTCAGGATGAAGTCCCGCGTTTATGGAGTGCTGGGGCGTGGAGTTTCTGCCCGAAAAACAGTAGCTCTTGTTAAAAAGTGATGAGAGTCAGGACACACCAGGGTGGGGGGTGTTTACCGTCGCCCTAAAAGCACCCTCCAGGCCTCAGGGCACCTCAGATCCCGCCTGGCCGCGGTCAGATCTGCTGACAGTTGTTGTCCTACGGCCCCTTCTCAAGGCATGAGCCTGAGCTTGGGGCAGCTTCGTGGAGATGTGGGTCTGAGTGCAGGCCGTTTGGCTGACAAGCATTCTTTCTGTTTCCAGAATGGTTTTGCAGTGGTTCGGCCCCCAGGACACCATGCTGACCATTCCACAGCCATGTAAGGCTGGGGGGAGGTCAGGGAGGGGGTGAGATGGGGGGGGCATCCCCCCCCCATCCCCTGAGCCTTCTGGGGCCGGGCCGGACTGGGGCGGCCAGAGGAAACGGGAGAGGTGAAGACACAGGGGAAGAATGGCCGGGCAGAGCCTCTCTCTCTCTTCCTCCCAGGGGCTTCTGCTTCTTCAACTCCGTGGCCATCGCCTGCCGGCAGCTTCAGCAACAGGGCAAGGCCAGCAAGATCCTCATCATGGACTGGGTAGGTTCTGGTTCCTGGTTCCTGGCCCCTTCAGATCCGAGAGCCCTGTAGAAAGAGCCCCTAGCCTGGCAGCAAAGGATCTGTCTTCCTGTCCGAGTTCTGCATGAGCCTCCCGGGCCTCCGTGTCCCTCTGTATATAAAATGCGGGCAAAGATAAGAGCCACATCAGGGGGCTGCCAGGAGTCCCGGAGACAACCGTGTGTGGGAAGGCCCTCAGCCATCATGAACTCCCACGGCGGGAGGAGCCACTTGAGTGCTCTTTGGCCTCCAGTGGCTTCTTTCTGCAGGTGTCACTGCATTGCCCCTACAGTCACAGGGATAGCAGGTCAGCTCAATGTGCCCCTAATCACATCTAGACCCTGCAGTTTAACCTGTGATGGGTCGGAACCTGACTGGTACCTGGTTTCAGATGAGGAAGGTGAGCCCAGAGATGTTAAGTAATTCACACACAGTCACACGTCTGGTAAATCCTGAGACTGGGACTTGAACCCAGGCCAGTTAGCTCTGGAGTCCATGCACCTAAGCCAGACACTCTGCCTGAGTGTCTGTGAATGCGACATGCCTCTACAGCTGTTGACTGCAGAGGAAATTTCTACCCTTGTGCCCACACACGGTCCTGTGACTTTCCAAGTGTCAGACCATAGCTCTTCCTAGCAGTGGTGGCCCCGGGCCTCACCGACCTGCCCCTCCATAACTGAGCTTGGTTTCCGATCACCTTATCACTCCTCGACCACAGGCAAGATGCGTTAGTGAAGGTTTCTGACATGCGTAGGCCTGGACTTGCCCCTCTTCTGCCATACATGTCTTGTGCCCGCTGGCCAGTTGGCCCTTGGCATGCCTCCTCCCCTTCAGGGTCTCACGGTATACTCTCCCTGGTCCAGGGCTGTGTGCCCAGATGTGCGCACACGGAGAAGCACAGAGAGGACCGGAGGACTACTTGGGACGACTCAACAGTGTAGCTCTGGGAACCCCAGCCTCCTTACTCCCAGTCTAGGGTCCTGACCCTCAGACGAGGGACACTTGAAACCTCCATGAGCTGTGCCAGCCCCCATCGGCGTGCCTTCAGGCCTTCACTAATCCGTTGTCCATCCCCCTGCCCAGGATGTTCACCATGGCAACGGCACCCAGCAGACCTTCTATCAGGACCCCAGTGTGCTCTACATCTCCTTGCATCGCCATGATGACGGCAACTTCTTCCCAGGAAGCGGGGCCGTGGATGAGGTAACTGCATGCTCCCTTCCAGCCCCGTTGGCTCTGCCTGCAACCCAACTAGCTGTTGGGATCCCGAGCAGGTTGGTTGGCTTCTCTGATGTTCCGTTCCTCTATCTGGAAGTGAAAAGGCCAGTTGAGCTGGTCTCGCAGTGCTGGCGTCCTGGGGTTCCTCTCCTGGGACCCTGCTCTCCTCTGGTCTCTCTTGCCTCCTGTTTTCCAGGTGGGAGCTGGTAGCGGTGAGGGCTTCAATGTCAACGTGGCCTGGGCTGGAGGCCTGGACCCCCCGATGGGGGATCCTGAGTACCTGGCTGCCTTCAGGTGAGTGCTCTGGGGGCCCAGAGGAGGTCCAGTCAGCAAGGCCACTCTTTCGTGCCTCTTTTCCCAACAGTACCAGGCCAGAGGTGATGGGTTGGTTTGGCAGCCTGTCCTCATCCAGTTACTGGACATGATAAGCCAGTCCCAGGGTGGGCCTTTCAGACTGAGACAAATAAAAGGAAAGGCACTGTTACAGTGGCCTCTAGGAGCCTCCAGTCCCCATGAAAAGACGGGAGACACAGAATGAAAAAGTCAGGGGTACTTTATCAAGTCACGTGTTACCCAGAGCCAGTGTTGAACTGAGTGCCGGAAGATAGGCAGGGTGAAGTGAGCATAGCTGCCACATTCGGTCAAGCAAGGCTGCTTGGAGGAGGTGGGCTTTGCACGAGAGATAAGAAATTTAAATTATGGAGAAAGAAAGCAGATGATGTTCGTATTGAGGGAGTTGCTTAAGAAAGGGCCTTGGGCTCTGTTTAGGAGCCCTTATGTTTCCCTCTGGGGTGCCTATACTCCATTTGGGAAAAGAGAATCCTGGAAGTAGGTCTCAAATACTTTTCTGGAAATAGTCTCCATGAGAGCTAATTCTGGAGAAGTCCTGGACTGGGCTTCCTAGTGTCTGTGTGCCCTGAGCCCAGGGCTTCAAAACACATCAAAATGGACCCCAGAGTTGGGTGAGGGATGGAGGGAGGCAGCTGCGGGGGGCCGGCAGAGGCAGAGGATAAGGGAATGAATCTGGGTGGCCTAGGATGTCAACAGAGTTAGCTCTCAGGTGGCGAGAGGTGAGGTGTGGTCAACTCAGTCCGAAGTGAGTGGCAGCTGCGTCTCAGTAGTTTCAGTCCCCAAGGCTTAGTGACCTGCCCCCACTGTGGCCCTGCCCCACTGCACCCCACAGACACACACACACACAGGCGCGCCCAAGCACCCATGGACATACGCATGCTCTTCTTTCTTCTCCTTTGGGACCCCATCCCTAACTCCTTCCTGCCCCTTCCCTGTTAAGAGCTCTGGGTGGCTAAGTCCTTAGACTGTGCCAGGGATATGGGTGGCCAGCCAGGTCAGAGAGGCTAGATGGATCCATTTATCCTGCTGGGAGATTGGGTGATTTGGAGTCCCAAGAGCAGGGTACTCACAGTAAAGCTGATAGGAAGAGGCCCGTCCCCGGCAGCCCCACACAGAGTGCTGAGCCCCTGCGTCTGGCCCCCACACAGGATGGTCGTGATGCCCATCGCCCGAGAGTTCTCTCCGGACCTGGTCTTGGTGTCAGCTGGGTTTGATGCCGCCGAGGGTCACCCAGCCCCACTGGGTGGCTACCATGTTTCTGCTAAATGTAAGGAGGGCCCAGCTCAGGGGGAGAGGTAGGGAATGAGGGCTAGGCTGGGAGGAGAGTCCTGGGGACTGCCCCAGTCCTGGGGAAGGTGGCAGTGGCCAGCTCAGGACCATGAGTGAGGATGGGTGTGGCAGCTGGGCCTGATGCTCCCTGGGCCCCCCTCGCCTAGCCCTGCCCGGAGCCCTTTCTCATGACCAGGGCTGTCACCACAGGAGACCTCCACTACAACCTGGGGGTGACATCTGTTAGCCAAGAAGCTTGGCCTTGGGACTCCCCCCCCCAATGCACACCCCAGTTGTGCCATCCCCAGCTGAGTTGCCAGCTTCTCCTGGAGGTGGACGGGGAGGAGCCCACTCAGCCTGCTGGGCCCCAGGGCTTGGGGGACAGAAGGAGAAGATGGTGTGACTTAGTGGAAAAGACAGGCTGGAGTAGAAGCCCCAGGTTCCAGTCCACTTCCTGGCTGTGGGCCTCATGCAAGTCCCTTAAGCCCCGCAAGCCTTGACTGGGGCATATGAATAGGTCTGACACGGGGGACCCTGTGAAAGGCCTGGAAGGAGGAGAGATGTGTGCATCTGAGCATCATCTATAAAGAAGGACGCCAGCAGAGAAATTTCAGAGAGAGTCCACCTCTCCTCCAGGCCTGCCTCTTCTTTTCCTCCCCACCCAACTGTCTAGGTTTTGGGTACATGACACAGCAGCTGATGAGCTTGGCGGGAGGTGCAGTGGTGCTGGCCTTGGAAGGTGGCCATGACCTCACAGCCATCTGTGATGCGTCTGAGGCCTGTGTGGCTGCTCTTCTGGGCAACAAGGTGAGCTGCCCGCCCATCTGTATATCCACAGAGCAGGAAGTCCAGCCCCCTGAGGATGGTCCCAGCATGCAGGCAGATGGGGTGCCCCCCAGAGGGCTTGCAGATAGTGCTGGGGTGGCAGGCCTAGAACAAGGGGGACAGAGTGGGTACCCCTTCCCCAGGTCAGGTCTAAGACTAGCATTTCCAGCCTTGGGCAGAGCCGGGAACACGGGCATGTTTGTACCTGGAAAGCCAGGGCCATTGGGGTGGAAGATTCCTAGGCCTGTGGGTCCCTAATAGCTGACATGCTGTGTTTTCTCTTAAAGGTGGACCCTCTCTCAGAAGAGGGCTGGAAACAGAAACCCAACCTCAACGCCATCCGCTCTTTGGAAGCCGTGATCCGGGTGCACAGTGAGTACGGAGAAAGGGTACCCGCTGATCCCAGAACCTCAGGGGTCTCCTGCCCTCAGTAACCCATGCCCCATGACTCCCAGTGCCTGCCAGGCAAGGGGCTCTCTTGCTGTACTGGAGTGGGCTTCCTATGAATGACCCCAATAATAATGGTGGGACTGCCTCCCTCCCCGTGAATGGGTGCTCTCGGAGCCCTCCATGGATCCAGTGGAGACTGCCTGCCTCCTAAGGCAGGACAGGCCTTCCATCCCCAGCCACAATCCTAGGTCAGGGCCAGGCCAGTAGCAATAGGCCTTTTGCCAAAAGCGCTGGTTCTTCCTTGACCCTCAGTCCTGTCCACAGCGATTTTGGGAGCTCTGCCTGCTTTGGGGGCTGGTCTTAGAGTAAGATTATTAGTATTTGGGGGCGCCTGGGTGGCTCAGAGGCTTAAGCATCCAACTCTTGATTTTGGCTGAGGTTTTTGATCCTCGGGGTCATGAGTTCAAGCGCTACATTGGACTCCACACCCCATGTGGAGCCTACTTTAAAAAAAGAAGAAGAAGAACATTTGGGAGACAGCTTAAATTTTTACTTACAACTTAGCATCTATGGAACATTTTATGTGAAGACCGGGGTTCAATGCTAGGGATACAAAAATGAATAAAGTAGGTTTGCCCACATCCAGGGCCAGTAGAGGACGGGTGTAGAACAGTAAAGATGGTGCTGGTACTTCGTACAGAGTCTTCACCCTGGGCCAGCTTCTGGGCTGGGCGTGTGCCATGGACATTATCTTACAACAGCAGGCGGGATGCTCATGTCCGTGGCTTAGTGGGGGCAGTTGGAAGCCCAGGCAGTTAGGTGACCTGCTGACGGCCACCCAGAGTAGCCGTGGTGGTGGTCAGCTCTCTGTGTTGTGACCTTCCCCCCTCCCATGCCCCATCCTGTGTGCTGCGTGGAGGTACAGACCCTATCTAGGGAGGAATGGGCCCTACCGGAGCTCTTCAGAGCCCCACGCTATGGGAACGGGTCAGGGGTGGGGGAATGGCTGGGCATCTGCTAGGGCCCCCTGGTGGCCACAGCGAATCCGCTCCGCTCTCCCCGGCAGGCTGCGGTGGGGGGGACCATGAGGGAACCGAGGGTAGAACTGAGCGCACTGATCCCGGACTGAGGAGGCGCCCGCTCCTGTCTGCTGTCTGGCCCTTGGCCTGAGAGGTCCAGCCTTATATCAGTTTAGGACGCGTGGCGTGGCTGGGGGGTCGGGCCTGTTTCCCCAGCCCTTTCTGACTCTGCTTCTTGCCACAGGTAAATACTGGGGCTGCATGCAGCGCCTGGCTTCCTGTCCGGATTCCTGGGCACCCAGGGTGCCAGGGGCCGATGCAGAAGAGGTGGAGGCAGTGACCGCACTGGCATCCCTGTCCGTGGGCATCCTGGCTGAAGAGCGGTAAGGCCCCGCCCCTGGCCCGCAGCCACTCCACCCCTCGAACCCTCCGGGCTCGAGGACCCCAGCGCCCAGCACAGCCACCCCAGCCTTCTTACTCCCAGCAAGCTGGGCTGAGGCCCTCTGGCAGCCCCACCCTTGTCGCTCCCCACAGGCCCCCAGAACAGCTGGTGGAGGAGGAAGAACCAATGAATCTCTGAGGCTCCAAAAGAATGGACCTGCGCCCACCCTGCCCTTCGGACCTGGTTCTTGTCTAGCCTCTGGCAACCATACCCATTCCCGGGGTCTTCAGACAGCCTTCGGGCAGGTAGTCGGGGCCAGAGAACAGCCCCTTGCGGTCACCCCAAGGAGCCTGGGAAGGGCCCTGGGTCTAGGATAGGGACCAAAGAGGACCCGGAGAGGAGGCAGGCTGGGCAGCCAGCCAGGCCTCAGTAGCACTCTTCCAAAACAGAGTCTACCCCTTTGGGGTCCAGGCCCCGGGCTGGGCCCCCATTCCTCAGGACTGCACAGAGGAGGACTAGCTCATTCGGGCCCACCGATAACCACTATTCCTGGCTCTGTAGACCCTGGGCTTTGCACACAGCCCCAGGCTCCACACAGAAATGTGAACTTGGCCTCAGCCAGGGTGGTCCTTCCTAAGCTCTGAGGGCTGGGCTGGAGTGGGGAAAGGGGGACGGGTAGGAGGAGCCACGGGGTCCGCTGTCCCTGAGTGTGGGGGCATCCTTCTTGCCTGCTTCCTCAGATGACTCTGGAAGCTTCCTCTCCCCGCCCCCCCACCCCACCCCATCAATGGGCAGGGAGACAAAGCTCCTTCCGAGAGAGTAGTCATCGGCGGGCCTCCCATCTGGTCCCTGCCCCTGCCAGAGGCCGCCTACGTCAACCATCTCAGTGCCCTGGCGGAGCAGACAGGTGCTCTGGGAGTTCCATGCTTCCTGAGCCAACGGTGCCAAACTCTTCATCTCCCCTCAGTGGCACAGCATGGCCGCCAGGGGCCCCTGGGTCACTGCCCCCCTCCATGAGCCTTCTCTCTTTCTGGGGTCTCCCTCACTCAGCTCTGAATCCTGCCCTACATAGGACTAGCTTGGCTGAGGGGAAAGGGGGTGGGAGAGTGGACACAAGACATGGGGGAGGGGAGGCTGCCCTGGCAAAGTCTTCAAGGCTTCTGGGGTTCAGGCCTGGGGCCAAGAAGGAAAGTGTTTGTGTGTGTGAGAGAGAGAGAGGGAGAGTAAGAGTATGTATGTTTGTGAGTTAGAGAGTACGTGTGTGTATGTGTGTGTGTGTGTGTGTGTGTGTGTCTTCCCCAGGACCACCATACCCTGTGTATGTATGCATGTTTTTGTAAAAAAGAGAAAAAAAAAGAAAAAAAATGGAAAAAAAATCTGAACAATAAATGTTTTATTTGCTTTAACGGTGCCTGTGGAGGGGCCTCTGGGGATGAGGAGTGTACTGTGGGCATAGGGCTACGTGGGGGCTAGCGGCGGGCGTTCAGCCATACAGCACAGCATGCGTCCCATTTGATGTGGGGAAGGGACCAGGCTGGGCTGGGGGCCAGCTCCCCTCCAGCTCCTTGCCCTCCTGTGGGCAGCGCCCTTGCAGGAAGAATCCATTCTGAACACAACCCAGCTGGCCCCTGCTTGCCCCCCTTCAGGGTCGTAAAGGCAGCAGCTTTGGGCTGTGTCCAGAGATAGAAGGCCCACTGAGAGGGCAGGGGTATAGAGACGCAGCCCCAGAAGGCCTCCCTAGAGAGTGGTGAATCAGACCTCCCTGGGTTCAAGTCCCAGCTGGGAGCTCAGGTAAGTCACGTCACCTCCTGGGACCTCTGTTTATCAGTTAAAGGCTCCAGAAATAGACACTGTTTATGGTCCCTTCCCGTTCGAATGCACCATGACTCCTTAACAGGTAGTGAGCCCAGGAGAGATCATGCGCAAGGCAGCAGGCTGGGACAAGCTCATCCAGTCACCAGAGGAAAGTGCCAGGCTGCCAGCGCCGGTCTTTCTAGTTCGGAGCCGGTAGGAGTAGCAGCCTCATCACCTCAGACCTGGCCTCAAGCCCTCAGCTGGGGAGAGCATGAAGGGAAGCAGGTTCGCCCCCTTCCCGTCTGTCCTGGCCTCTTGGGTGACACACTAAATGTCACCAGTGGTGCTGTGCTGAGGCTGTGCCTCTGAGCACCGTTGCTCTGCCCGGCACGGCCTGAGAGTCAGGCTGCTGGGCTCTCCTATGCCGAGAGGGCCTCCAGCCCTAGTCAGTGATGCCCCCTCTGCCTTCCAGGGCACAAGGTGAGCTAAGGAGACGGTCTCCTGAGACACCTCGAGACTGGCCACCACCACCCTTCCCGCTGGCCACTCCCACAGCACCCGCCCTACCCCACCCCAACTCCCCAAAAGAGTACACCACAAGAAACCACCAGAGGCTGTTGGGTACAAATGGCCGCTGTATTTCTGCTAAAGTGACAGTGACACAGATAAGGCAAAAGAGCTGAAGGGCAGGACATATCGGGGGAAAAGGGCAGACCGTGCAAAATGGCAACCTAACATAAAAAGGGGTATGTAACAATAGTTCCCTCCTGAGTTAGTGAGCCCTTGTGCCCGTGTATAGGCAGAAAAGCAGATTTTGTCCTTCAGAAGGGAGATTTTCAAAGACGAGAGCTCTAGGCAAAGGGCCGTGAGTGGGGGAGTAGAGGACTATCTCGTGGCCAGGGGTGACGCACGTGAGAAGTGATGGAAATACAGGGCTGTGGGTGCATGGGCACAGATCTGCGGGGCTCCCTCCAGCCTGTGCCATGCTGCCCCCTTACCCGGAGCCCTTCTTGGGTCAGGGCACCTTCCCCAGACACCTAGTCTGGCCTTGTTCAGGGAGTCCTGCTTTGGGGTGTGTGGTGTGGTGAAGGAGATGACTGCCTCCAGCACACTCATGGGACACCAGCCCTGGGCCAGGAGAGGGACATTCAACTCTCCACTTAGGTCCCCAGGCCTTGGGAAAAGAGAGCCAAGTGTTACCATCCCTGGGACTGAGGGGTTAGGCTACCTGACTCTCAAAAGACAACAGGATGGGGGGTTGGGGTTGGGAGATCTCCTGTAGAGACCCCTTACTTGACTTGACTCCCAGGTTCTCAGCCTGGCCTGAGGGAGAGTGCCCCAAGGCAGAGGTCAAGGCTCACTGCCCTACCCCTCGACTCACTGCCCTGGCCCTGCTTACAAAGATTCCTCACTGAGTGTTAAGAAAATAGATCCATCTGAAAAGGTCTAAAGCTGCCCTCCAGCCAGGCGGATGAGGAGCAACATGGCAGGAAGGACCCCTTTCCACCACACCCAGGTGTCCCACAAAGGGGACAGGACAGCTTCCTAGGAGACCGCGGTCCTCTTGCAGTGTTTCTTCTGCCGCAGATCCAGGGTGTCCAGGGGGTGCGGCAGGCCTGCCCAGTGTCTCAGAGGCTGAGTCCAGGTCCTGAGGACTCCCAGGGTATAGAAGCCTCACCCCGTGGGTCAGAAATCGCTGAGGATGCTGATGTCGGCAAAGTCAGCCCGGTAGCGGTGGGCGTAAAGGCTGAGCAGGAAGGCCCACTTGAAGGAAATGAAGCTCCAGACACAGGAGAGGTAGTAGCTGTTGGGGTCCGTGAGGCCTGCAGGGGAGAGGAACCCCACAGTGACTTGAGAGGGCTTTGCCCTGGACCCCAGCCACCATGCCACAAGCCCAGGGCCACCCCTCCCCACCAGGAGAGGTGGAATGTGATAAGCACTTCTAGAGCATTTGGGGTTTGCAGGCAGGAGGCCGTGGGGCTGAGGGAAGGTCAGAGCTGGCCAATCCCGGCTCTGTATCACCTACTCTGACCTTCTACACTGACCCTGGGCCACTTGCACCCTGCTGGAAGCTTTAGACTTCTTAGGGGCAGGAAGGGCCTTAGCTTACTTGCTGGCCGCAGCCACCAGGGGGCGCTCCCATCCCAGAGCTGGGCAGAAGGACCAACCCCTAGAGCTAATAAAAACTGCCGGCTGGGCTGCCGACCTGCAGAGCCCACCCAGCTCAACACCTCCCACGCATTTCAGTGAATCCTTCCACCCCGAGGTGGGGGGTCGTCTAGGTACTGCTTTCCCCTCACTGAGAAAACCCAGGCATGGGCAGGTTAAGTGGGCTGCCCAAGCTCCCCGGACGTAAGCTTTGGAACCAGGACCAGAATCCTCCTAAGTCCCCCATGGGCCCTCCCACGCCCTTCCCTCCCTGACCGCCCTCACTCTGGTGTCGGGTGACAGCCAGCACAAGGAAGGTGCAGAAGGTGGCAACGGACACTGCCGAGAAGAGGACGCCCACGAAGAAGAAGCCACGCAGTCCCTTGAGCCAGGTCCTCCAGTAATCCTGCATGTACATCACATGCGTCACCAGCACCCACAGCGCCAGCACACCTGCGGGGACAGACCCATCAGCCAAGGGAGCCGCCCTTCCCCTGCCTCCTCACCCGGCCTCCAGCCTGGGGACCCCAAGGACCTCCCAGGACCCTTTGGCCCCAGAGGCCAGTGCTGTTTGCATAGTATTACTAAGGTAATGCTGGCTTTTCACTTTCATTGCTTTCTGACCCCTGAGTGGAATGTTCTGGAGGCTACAAGGCCTCTGGCATCACCAACTTGAATGCAAAAGTAGATAAGAGAATCTACCGCCTCCTGTTAAGCCAGATGTTAAAGTGATTTGCAAAGATAGGAAACCATGCCATTCTTTCCCCCTCATTTTTTTGTTTTAAAAAAACATGACTGGGGCGCCTGGGCGGCTCAGCGGGTTAAAGCCTCTGCCTTCGGCTCGGGTCATGGTCGCAGGGTCCTGGGATTGAGCCCCGCATTGGGCTCTCTGCTCAGCGGGAAGCCTGCTTCCTCTTCTCTCTCTGTCTGCCTCTCTGCCTACTTGTGATCTCTGTCTGTCAAATAAATAAATAAAATGCCTTAAAAAAAAAAGTATAAAAAAATTGACTATTTCTTACATAAATATATTATTTATGCTAACACAATGTTATTTTTCATATTACTTTAAAATGCTTGTAATGAGCACTGGGTATTATAGAAAACTGATGACTCACATACCTCTAACCCTGAAATAAATAATATATTATATGTTAATTAATGGAATTTAAATTTAAAAAATTTTTTTAAAAACATTATGAAACAAGCAGAAAAATTAGGACACTGGATATTTGATGACAATAAACAACAACTGAAATGTTTAGATTAAAAAAATAAATGCTTGCAAATGTGTCCTAATTTCTGGTATGGTATGCATCGAGACATATAACCCACAAACAAGATTTCTTTGGGGTGTTACTACTTTTCAAGCATGTGAAGAGGTCCGGACATCAGAAGGTTTGGGAATCACTGCAGTCAGGCCTGCTTTCCAGAACCTGCTACCACCTATCGAGGGCCCTCCCACCCCTCCAAGGCCTATGGCTGGGCTTGAGGCCTATGGGGCCCTTTCAGAACTCTGTGGATTGCTCCTGCAGAGTGAAGAGGCCCAGTAGTGAGACCCCCAAGGCCACCCAGCACCCAAGTGGCCCTCTTGCTCTTGACCCTGTCACTCCCTCTGGTTTGCTGAGAGGGCAGGCCAGATGCCCCCAGCCTCTCCAGGGCCTGCCCTCTGGGCCTGGCCGGGCACTTCCCCAGATGCCAGCTGCTACTCAGCAGATACAATGAGTACCCTCAGTGCCAGGCTGTGCCTGCCGGCACAGCCCCAGGAGTGGGACAACTATGTCGCACTGGCAAGTGCCCACAGCAGGGCCACAGGTCCCTGCGAGGAAGGAATGAGGAAAGAGGCAGAGCCACCGGGAGACGTTTCCAGCAGGCAGCCAGCTGCACACCCTACAGGCAGAGGAGCATCTGGGTGTCGGAAGGGCGGGCATCTGGTTGGGGAAAGTGGTTCTCTTGAGCAAGGGCCAGAAGGACGGGAAGTGGATGAGAGAAGCGGGCAGGAGCGTGATTTGACTGGGTCTGTAATATTTTATTTCTTAGACTGAGTGCTAAGTATAAGGGAGTTCATGAAATCCTCTAACCTTTTTTATATGCCCAAGATATTTCTCTCTCTCTCTCTTTTTGAAGTTAGGAGGGAAAAGAGGCTGGCAGGGGTGGAGGGCATGGTCACAGAACTAGGCTCTGGTTATCAGCTGGGCAGCTGTCACAATTTGGGCAGCCTGGCGTGGGACACAAAGCCACGGGACTGTGAGCCAGGAAGTCTGGGGCCTGGCACTGCTGTGCTGCTTGTGACCTCTCAGAGCCTTGGCGTTTCCCCATCTAGAAAATGGGTGAGCCCAAAGGTCCTGTCAGCCTGGAAACTCAGCCATTCCCACCCTAGTGAGGGCTCAGCCCTGCCAGCCGCCCAACCCCCACCTCCTGTCCCACCCTGTTTGACCCACGTTCTCCCAGTTCTGCCCCTCCTTCTGTGGGGGGCCTGGGGCCTGCAACATGGGTCCCGCCACTCCTGAGATCAGGGTGAACTGGGAACAAGTGTCTTTCCATCCCCGCCCAGACAGGAAGCCAGAGCAGGCCGGAGGTGGGCAGAAATATGATCTCCCGGCTTTTCCGCTTACACCTTACACGATCTAGAGCAGGTGCCCAGAAGCATTTCCCAGACCTCTCACGTGCATCCTAAGTGTTCATCTGGGGATGGTGTGTGAGTCCTTAAAGGGCCCCAGGAAGAAGGCATGTTGTTCCTGAGTGCATCCCAGGACAGTCAGATGGGCATTTGTCTGGGACAGCGCCACCCGCCCTCTGTCTGCTCAGTACTCCATGGAGGACCTGGAGTGGCATGGAGGGGCTGGACAGGATGAGCTCGGAGATCCTCCACCACCCGAAGATCCTGGAGCCAGCTTAGGAGAAAAATAAGGAGGGCAGAGTAATTCCTCTGTGACTCAGCAATTTCTGGGTTAGGAAATGCTGAAATGGGGGCCTGTGGAAATGCCATGTGTTGGTCCACTGGCCGGCTGCAGGAGTGTCCCCAGACACCCCCCCCACACCGCCATACACCCACATGCCAAAAAGGGTTAGGAAAAGGAAGATGGCCATTTTGGGTGTCCCACGTACTAGTTCTTTGTTAATAAGCAGGCCCAACCTTAACCACCTCTCACTTCCCCTGCGCATAGGCCTTGCCTCCAGATAAACACAAGCCACTTCTGCCAGTAGGTTTATTCTTACACACCCAGGCTCCCACCGCTGTCCTTGGACCAGGGAGCTCCCCCAAGGTGGGCAGTGAGGGAGCAGGACCCCCGACTGGTCCCCTCCCACACCTCAGGCAGGAAGCAATTGTCTCTCAGTTTTACTCTCTTCCTGAGGACACTCTGGGCAGGATGGTCAGTTCCCCAGGCCCACCCAGCTGCATACTCACCCTCGCCCCCCACCCCACCGCACCACTTCAATGAGCAGAGCCCTTGCTCCACTGGGGGCTCACAGCTGGCAGACCAAGGGCAAGGAAGGGTCAGAGCTGGCCAGTGAGAGTACCACCAGGGCCTGGGATGGAGATCAGGAGCTGGGAGGAGGACAGAGGGGCCCACAGAGAAACTCAGACAGGTGGGACCCTGGGGCCAGGGCCCCAGTCTGTTCATGCACCTCTGCCCTCTACGCCAGCCTGGGGAAAAGCCAGGCCCCGAGCCCCAGGGCTCCTCTCACTCCCAGGGTCATGTGGGAAGAACACAAAGCCATTTAGACTCCTGGGGCAACTTTTTCAATTCTTTTCCCCTTTCCTTGGTCTATTAGACCTGGAACGAGAGTCTGTGTTTCCCCAGGATTCCCAGGGCAAAACCATTTTCTCTGCAACTGCCTTTCCTCCAAGCCGCTTCTTGCCAGACACCCGCCAGGATGGGAGACAGTGCATCTCCGCCCATGGCCCCTGGGGCCCCAGGGCTGATACTCCCTTAGAAACCAGCACCCCCATCAGCCTGGTATGCAGGGGAGAAGGAGCCTGATGGGGCTGCCCTCTGGTGACTCAGCAGTTTCTGGGCTAGAAAATGCCGAGTCAGAAGTGGGGTGCTCACAAGTCCGTAAATCTGCTGATGCTTCCCCGCAAAAGAGGAAGAAGGCTGACTGGCTACAGACTTTCTCAGAACCCACTCGAGGTAGGGAGGGCTGGTGGCTCTGACCTGGCCAGCCCTCTGCCTGCCCGAAGACCCACCACTGCCAAGCGGCATGGCTCACCCTTTGCCACCTCCCTGTCGTCCACAAGCCCAGACTGCCTGGGAGGCGCCAGGCCCTGCTCCAGCTGCTGCTGCCCGTGCTTCTCTCCCTGCAGGCAGCTGCACAGCTGGCCTGCCTCAGAGGCTGAGGGAAGCCTTCGGGGAGGGAGAGAGGGCAGGGTTCAGGTCAGAGGGAAAGCCCACACTCCCTGGAGCCCAAGTTACAGGGCCTCTTCCACAGCCTCCTGAGAGGCAGCTGTGGGATGATCGCTGCAGATCATTCTAAACTGTCCCTGGAGGGGGTCCCCAAGATCACCTCTTTCAGTGGTGTCTCCTCCCACTTCTTACAGATGAGGAAACTGAGGCCCAGGAGGCCTCAGCTCCACTCAGCTCCACCGGGCTCAGCTCCTCTGGACCAGACTGTAACAGCACCAGCTCGGATCCCAGGGACAGCCCTCCCTCCTCCGACCCCACCAGCCCCTCCATCTCAGGTATCACTGTGGCCACAGGCCCTCGCTGGAAGACACCTCCTTCCCAGGAGCAAACACACAAAACTGCAAGGATAGAACCTTGAGGAACAGAGCAGCTGGACGGGGGGAGAGGGGAGCCAGGGGTCTGTAGAGAACTGAGCAATGCTGGGCTGGCTGCCTCCAGGGAGGGCAGGAACCCACGGGTGGGGGGTGGGGGGGATCTAGGCAGGCCTGAGAGCAGCCCAGCCAGGGTGCCCCCCAAGGACTCTATGGGGCATTGCTCAAGCTGCAGCTCTGTATGCCCCTCTATTAAGGCAGAAATCCCACCTCCCGTTCCTTCTCTACCCAGGGACAGCCCTCAGTAGGCTTGGTGGCAACGACTAAGTCTAGTTTCTTTCAGTGAGTACACCTACAGCTCTCTGGGGCAGAGGATTTTAGGAATGGAATAAGATCACCATACGTAAACGTAATATCATTACACGTACTTTTATCCCCAAAGTTCTTCCCCCCACACACTGTTTCATGTAGCTGTGTAGCCCCGGGCAAGCTATTTATTTACTCTTAGCCTCAGTTCAAGCCTTGTCTGTGAAATGGGCACAATAATAATGCCCACTGCATAGGACTAACATAAAGATGAAACAAGATGATGGAAACACTGCTTAACACGGTGACTGACACACGGAAAGTACTCAGAAAAAAATGTTGGTGAGTAGGAGTAATATGTTTTGTCTTCACACGGATTCTGCAACCCAGAGAGGTTCACTGGGTGTCCGCTGGTGCACAGTGAAGACACAGCATTGGTGAGGATCCTGTCTCCAGCAGCATCCTGACGCTCTCCCTCTAGCACTCGCCTCCCCTCTGCTCTTTAAAGTCCAGAAAAGGCACCAGCACAGGCTTCGGCAGACCTTGGCGGAGGAGCCACAGCGGAGGGGTGGCAGAGACACCGTGATGGGGAGAAAATGTCCACTTTCTGCCCGATTCCCTCGCGCGGTCCCCACTCCCTGGACTCGGCTGAGGGCTCTGCTGGAGGTGGGGTCCGCGCTGGCGGGAGAAGATGGGCTTCCCCAGGACCTCCCCGGCCCTCTCGGCTTACTCCTCCTCTGCCTCACCCAGCCCCCAGGGAAGGGGCGCGAGCGGAGGGTGGCAGGCCGGCGGGCACGCAGGGAGGACGCTGTCACCGGGCGGCTGGGCCGGCGGCGCGGCAGGCTGGTGCCAACGGCAGTGGCGGCGGGGGGCGGGAGGGCATCCTCTCCTGCAGGCGCCCGGGCCCGCGCGGGGCCTGCGCTTCCCACGGACGCTTTTGGATAAACAGCCTCCCCCGCCCCGGTCCCCGGGGAAGCGCCGCCCGCGAGGAGCCTCCCGGAGCAGCCGACAGCGCCTCCCGCCGCCGCGCGCCCGTAGCCGGGACCCCGCGCCCTCCCCGCCCATGCCAACCCCCGCGCGCCCCAGGGTACCTGCGAGCCCCCCCATGGCCGCCGTCCCCGGCTGTCTGTACACCACGGTCCAAACAAGGAAGATGGAGAAGCCGGCCGCGGAGCTGAGGCCGGAGTAGGCGGCGCGGAGGCCGAGCTGCAGGCGGGACGGGGCCATGGGGCTGCGGGCGCGGGACGGGGAGGGCGAGCGCCGCGACAGTCACAGGTGCAGGGCCAGAGCCGGGGCGGTGAGCCGGGAGCCGGGAGCCGCCGGCCGCCCCGCGCTCCGCCCCCGGCCCGCCCCCCGCGCCGCGGGCACAGCGCCCTCCCCGGCCGGAGGCCGCCCGCGCCCGGAACCCGCGCGGCGCGGCCGGAGCTTCTCCAAGTGAGGTGCTGGGGCCGCCCGGTTGTTTGGGGGTGCCTGGGAAAAAAAAAGTCACGTTCCCGGCCTCATCCTCAGACTTACCCTGTCGAGACATTAGGGGCTGGGCGAGGCCCGGAAATCTACATTTACACAAGTCAGGAGCGGCGAGGACTTCAAATTTTTTCTCTCTGATCACAATTCTCTTTTCAAATTTAAATTTCTCTTTAAAAATTAAGATGTAAAAATTGAGAAACATGCAAGTACACAGTGAATAGGATTCCCTCCACCCTGTCCCTTTCAACCAGGTGCCCTCCCCCAGACGTTGTGCGCATCTCAGAGGATTCTCCACACTGACATTTGAGAACCCCTGCACTGTGACCATCACCTCTTAACCTCAAACACTTGACGGGCGCTGACAGCTTCCCCTTCCTTTCACCGCCATAAGCTTCACTCCCACCCCAAATCCCTACCAAACATCACTCCCACTCTCAGAATCTATACAGGAGTATATTGAGCTTCCCCTGTGAGCCCGCTTCCTCCTGGGAGCTGGGAGGGAAAGTCGAAGACAACACAGAGCCTTCAAGCACATATAATCTGGTTGGGGAGGCCCATCATCACATCCCTGCACAAAATAAGTAGCCAGTATCCCTATTAGTTTCCTTTTGTGGCTCTAACAAATCATGACAAATCTAATGGCTTGAAGCAACAAATATTTATTCTCCCACAGTTGTGCAGGTGAGGAGTCCAACAGTAGGTCTCATTGGGTTAAAACCAAGGAGATGGTAGGGCTGCCCTGTTTCTGGAGGCTGGAGGGGAGAATCAGCTTCTTTTGCTTTTCCAGTTTCTATAACCACCTCATTCCTTGACTCATGGCCCTCCTCCTTCATCTTCAAAGCTGACAATCACATTACCCTGACCTCAGCTACTGTTGTCACACCTTCTCCACTGATGACTCTGCTCCCTCCCACTTTCCTCCTAAGGACACTTGTGACTAAGAATCTGGATGATCTGGGGCACCTGGGTGGCTCAGCTGGTTAAGCGTCAGACCCTTGGTTTCCGCTCAGGTCATGATCTCAGGTCAGGGTCTTGAGATTAAATCCCGAATGGGGCTCTGTGCTTGAGATCCTCTCTCCCTGCCCCACCCGGCCAAGTGCAGTCTCTCTCATATAAACAAACAAACAAACAAACAAACAAATAAAATCTTAAAAAAAAAAGAACCCAGATAATCCAAGCTAATTTTGCCACTTCCTTACCTTAATCACATCAGCAAAATTTCTTTTACCATTACAGCAACATATTCACAAATCTTGGAGATTAGGACATGGATATCTTAGGGAGGCATTATTCTGCCTACCACAACCTTCTAGAATGTAAACTCTGTGAATAAGGACTGTGCCATTTTCATTCACACAGACACCTAGAAGGGTGCCTGGCACCTAGTACCCCTTAATGAACATTGTGGAATAGGTGAAGGCAGCAAATGGGGTAAGCACTAAATAATGATAAAGGTGATCGTTATAAGAAGTCCAGGCAGGACAAGATGAATTGCCCGGGGAGTCATATAAAGCTGTGTGAACCACACTTGCTTCACTTCAGAATAGTCTGGGAGCTTCTCAAAGAAACAAACAAACCAACAAAAAACCCAGACTCCATCCATGGCTTCTTAAATTTGAATCTTGGAAGTGTATTTTTTATGCGGGCTCCATCCCCAGACCCTGGGATCATGACCTGAGCTGAAGGCAAATGCTTAACCAACTGAGCCACCCAGAGGTCCCTCGGAAGTGTGTTTTTGAATGAGAAGTAATTTTCATGTGATAAGCTCATTCACTCAGCCCGTCTTCGGGAGCCGGTGATGCAGTCAGAGAAGAGAGTGAGCCCCCTGGTTCAGAGTACCCTGCCACAGATGACTTTAGTGCTGGCTGGGCTGGGCTAACACTCCAGGTGATGGGAATGGCACGTGTGCAGCCCAGGGGGAAGAAATAACATGGCAGATTTGGGGAAACTGTAAAATAGTTTGTGGCCTGTGGGTGGAATAGTGGATTTTGAAGTTTGAAATATTCTGAACATAAAGGGCCATTGTGCTCTGCTAAGGGGAGGGAAGTAAGAGCTCTGTTCTAGAAATGTGGCCAGGGTAATAGCATGAGGACCAGCTGCGCATGAAAAGACTAGAAGCGAGCTCATTCAGACAAGTCCTTCCCCTTGCTGTGCCTTAGCAACCTCATCTGTAAAATGTGCACAGCAGGGATCTCGACTTCCGGTGTTGTGCCGAGGAGTCGGTGCTTAGAAGCGTGCCTAGCACATAGTAAGTTCTCAATAAGTATGATTAGCTACAGTACTGCAGCTGCTGCGGCAAGAGATGGGGGTGCTGAAAGGGGGTTCCGCTGAGAGAGTGACAAGGGAAAAGAGGGAACTGATTCAATAGATACTGAAGCTGGGGCACCTGGGTGTCTCAGTGGGTTAAAGCCTCTGCCTTAGGCTCAGGTCATGATCCCAGGGCCCTGGGATTGAGCCCCGCATTGAGCCCCGCATCGCATCGGGCTCTCTGCTCAGCAGGGAGCCTGCTTCCTCCCTCTCTCTCTGCCTGCCTCTCTGCCTACTTGTGATCTTGTGATCTCTCTGTCTGTCAAATAAATAAATAAAATCTTTTAAAAAAATAGATACTGAAGCTATTTGAACCTTAACAGTCATATAGGAATTAATTATCTGGGCGGACAGAAATGAGGGGAGTGAAAATATTCTGAGGGTACGTCGTGGGAGTATTGGAGAGCAGCAAGCAAAGGTGTCGCTCTGCAACAGGAGATCGTACAAGACATTAAGGAGAAATAATTACCTAACTGTAGCTGGCCCAGGTTGTCCAGAAAGGTTAGGAGCAAACTGAACCTTCTTCTTCTTCTTCTTCTTTTTTTTTTTTTTTTAAGATTTTTATTTACTTATTTGACAGAGAGAGAGAGAGATCACAAGCAAGCAGGGCAGCAGGCAGAGAGAAAGGGGAAAGCAGGCTTCCTGCTGAGCAGAGAGCCCAATGCAGGGCTTGATCCCAGGACCCTGAGACCATGACCTGAGCCGAAGGCAGAGGCCCAACCCTCTGAGCCACCCAGGCGCCCCATGAACCTTCTTCTTGATTGTGGAGGTAATATGGAGCCTTGGGAAGATTTTATACTCAGATGGGGTTGCCACTTACTCAACAGTGTGACCCTAGGCAAGTTCCCATAACTCAACAGAACTTTCTAACTTTCTGCCAAGAAACTACTCCAGGTCTGTGCTCTCCAAAATGGTACCTGCTACACAGGTGTGGCTACTGAGTACTTGGTACCGGGCTAGCGTGACAGAGGAGCTGAATGTTTAATTTTTAGTTTTTAATTTTAATTTAGATAGCCACAGGTGGCTAATGGCTACTGCGATAGCACAGGAAGCTCTAGGGACCCCTGTTGCTCTGCGTGTAAAATGGGAAGGATGATGACACTTAGTAGGCTTGTTATAACAATTGAGACATATAGACATACTGCAGTTAGAGCACTAAACCCAACTTGTCATCCAACAAGTTATTTTTGCCATTCTTAAGATGGTTATTATTGTCCTCATTGAACAGGAGTAGCAGGAAATAAGCCATGTCTTAGGAAGATTACTGAGACTGTGATGTCCAGGTTAGATCTGACAGGAAAAGACAATTGTAGAAGAGAAAGCATTCATGAGACTAGTCCAGTGGTAAGGTGTGGGACCACTAAGGTCCTATCTGGAGAAAGGCCACGACAATGGGAAAGAATGGACGGATTTCTGTTGTATTCTGCAAAGCACAGGAGTGTGCCCACATACACATCTTCCTACATCAGCTTTCTTTCCGAGGTGCTTTCAGAGAGCACATTCCCGTCCCAACCCAAGACAGACACCATAGCGCGATCCCCACCTTGAGATAGACAGCCCCTCTCCTTGCTCACTAATACTCACCATTAGGGACCCTTCTTCTGGCACATCACCCACTAAATTTGAACTTGGAACACTTCCCAGTGTCCTTGCAGTGAGACTGATGCCACAGGATTAAGTTCTGAACAATGGAATCAAAGTGGAAGCAATGTGTGTCTTTTCCTGGCCGGACCCATAAAAATCTTCTGCATACCCCCAATTCCCTATTTCCATTCTGTCAGGATTTCGGGGGCCAATGAAGGTGGTGGACCCACATGTTGAAAGGCGCTTGGGACCCTGAATGAATGGAACAAAACCACTCACTCTGTCCCCATGGAACTGTAATGCGAGTGTTGCGCTAAACCACTGAGATTTGCAGGTTGTTACAGCTAACCTGATTACCTTAAGACACCACCCCTCATCCCATTTCAGGTCATGTAAACAGATCCCATAAGGCTAACCCTGTCTGAACTACCCGGCCCTCAGGAGTCACTTTCAAATTGGGCCCCACCAATATTAAGACAGACTCTCCCACCCGCAGGCATCTTGCCTCCCAAGACATTCCTTCCTCACTGCCCCAAAGCAGGCACATTCCAGACACACATCTCCCCCAACACTACGTCAAGGATAACCCCACAGAGCTGTATTTGGGTTGACTGAGTTTATTGGACTCGCCAGGGCTTCCTCCTCTCTGCTCCTTACTCCCCACACAGAGGGATCTCGCATGCCTTCTGGGCATGTCCTTGTTTACTGTGGCTCCAGCCCAAAACCCCAGCATCATTTCTGAGTCCTCTCTTTCCTTCCTCCCCACATCCAATACATTATCATTCAGCGGGGTCTGCCCTGT